CTTCGACAAATTTGCCAAGCCTGTCGATCCCTTTTGTTTTTCTTTTTGGCTTCAAAGAAATCGCACACCTCCACATTCACAACTAGCTGAGCAAACAAAAAAAAACATTTAAATTGAGGCTATTAATTACTTTTATTATGCCATAAGCTGGTCGGGCACAAGTTGCGAGATCGCATCAATTTGAGTGGTGTAAAAAAAAGATTAACAAATTTGTTAATTTTATGAATTGATTCAAAATTTTACCAAACAGGAATGCTAATTTCCTCTCACTACTCATTTGGGGTTTTCAGCGCCGTCGCCGTCTAAGCGACACTTTTTTTTTTGACAGGTACAAATCCACCGTTAAGCATCTCCACGCCTCCATAGTTAGGGGCTCTTGAGGTGGCTTTACTTTTCATTAATTTTTATTTACTTACTTTTATGATACCCTTTTATTTAAGTAGTACTTTCATATTTGGTTCAATTTTGGTGAATATAAAAAATGGCGGTGGAAAAATTGCGCATATGTTTGGTGGATTTGTAAGACGGAGGAGGAGGTGATAGTGGTGGTGGGGGTGGAGGTGGAGGTGCAATGGATTGACTTTAACACATGTCGCGTCAACTAAATGACATTTTTCAAGTCAAAAAGAACTCCCATTTCGTAAAAATGTGCTGCGTTTACAGGTTTACAACGCATAAATATCAAGCCGAGGCGGAAGTAAAATTGTCACCCAAATCGTCAAACACCTTGTCTACTTGGAAACTCTCCACCACCACCACCACCACCTTGACAAGTGGACACCCTCAGCTGCACGCCTGGCTAAAGGAAATTGAAAGACAGTTGACAAAAAAGAAGCACCTTTTACAAATGCAAAAATTACTACAGACGTCGGTTGACAGCGAGGACTTTTGTTAGACGTCAGAGTGTTTTCACCAAAGTGTTTCGGTCTCCTGAAGGGAGGTGAGTAGTGCAAGAAAATGAAGTGTTTGTCAAACATGGGTGGCAAGGGGAGGCAAACAAACACTTTGCAAGTGAGGAGACATCAAAAACACGCGCAAAAATTGGCATTAAAAAATGTGGTTTAAGTTATTACAAAGTTGAGGCATTTTAATGCATTCAACAAAAGACAAAATGTTAAAATGCTCAAAGTAAATTAAAATTCAAACTCCAGAACGACAATAAAAGGGGCATAAAGTGTCTGCATCACAAAAAAATTGCACAAAATTTTTGATCAGTTTGATCAGACGTAAATGTAAAAAAGGTGGTGGTCTCGGTGGGTGTGGAGAAGCGTCTCATTTTTCGATGCGTCTGCATCGAGTAATGCAGAAAGCACTGCAGTAAGGCTAGTACAGATGGAGTGAAGACGGTGTCTCACATGCACATCGAAGAGGAAGAGACCGTCCATGCTGAAAGTGCACAACTGGAGTCAGACAACACGTGCTTGCACAATCCAGTTGGCTACTCGCTCACACTGAAGAAGCGCCTCGAGGTTGGCTTGAAGGCACAGGGAGAGGAGTTGGAGACCGTGCCCTCCCCTCCCCTCCCCTCCCCTACCCTACCCTACCCCAACCTTCTTTCCCGCCCCGTCTCGTCGCGTCGCGTCCGTCTCGTCCCATCCCGTCCCGTGCCATCCCGTAAAGGCGATCAGACCATTCTGGTGAAGTGTCGAGTGGCATTGGTTGAAGAACTCATTGGTGAGGCAGTTGACAGCACCGCCTACTTGACGGAATAGGTCGAGCCAAGCAGTGCAACATCCACCCATTTCGATCACTCACAGTACCAACTCATGCCAACTAGCAGTTGCGAGGTAAGAGGCATCGAGTGGTGGTCCTCCAAACACACAACCTCCAAGTAGAGGCGTGCAAGTGGAAGGTGGAGATGAGGGTGTGATGGAATGACGACCTCCTGCAAGCAGTGCACGTGCATTGAAGGAGTGGAATTCACGAGAGTGAGCAAAGTGCGGATCCCTCAACACGGTCACAATACGGTAACATCATCAG